GTATGGCTTATTCCGTACAAAAAAAACAATTGTAAAGTTTGAATGGATCCTATTTAAAGTAGAGAATTTGATATCGCCGGTTAAACGCTTCTCTGTCATGAGGGTTCCATACGACACTTGGGTACTTCTTGACCCAGATTCCTACACTGTTCTGAATTTCTCTCGTTGTCATGAAGATGATCACCTTTTAACATTAGCATGACTAAATAAATTTTCAATATCGTCGCTCAGCAAACAGCACAGTTCGAGCAAACAGCAAAAATTCACGGGTTTTTACTTTTGAACGAACCGAAGCCGTAGTAGCCTAATGGTTGAACGCGGGTTTATACTACCGCCTCTGAAGCAGAGGCCGTGGGTTCGATTTTGGGCTCGAATCTCTAAATTTTTCGTAATTTATATGCGAAATTCTATTTTCTCATGTGGAGTAAAGTGGCAGATATTCAAACAATATTTGTATTGCAAAAACGAGCGATTCCTTCTGTGTACCCTAGGCTCTAGGGTTTCTCTCAGAAAAAAGTTCAAGGAGACTGGTATCATGACTGTGGCATCACAGTACATTTACTCAAATATTTTATATGCCCGTAAAAATATACATAAATTCAATAAGAAAGAAGATATCCATAATATTACCTTAAAGCTAAGTCCAAACACATGGTAACACGATTTCGTTTAACCAAGGTAAATTTAAAAAAAAGATTCTGGAGCATATATTAAGATTATCATTTCCTAAGTTTAAAAACTACATTCAAAATGTTTTGATTGAAAAGTCATATTACAAAATTGAAGACTACGTGTTAGATAAAATGTATGGAAAGACGACATAGTTCCAGAATCCACACAAATTTGATTCAAAGTGTATTCCATAGCATTTAAGCCTATTTGAAAAGAGCAATCCCTAAAGTTTCTTGCTCGTCCTTCTCAGGGAAATCAGCGTAGTGAACGAGCATTACATAACTTAAATGTGACGTTTTCAAGTGTAAATTTATTTTATCTATGGAATAAATGTTTCTTTTACTTTGACTTTAAATATATGACTTACAAGCTTTTCGTTGAGGAAAACATCGTATGAAACCCGCACGTCGGAGAAGGATTACAACCCTCGAAAAACTTGTAAAGTCCACAATCCGCATTAGGCCAGTGTCGTCGCCCTGTTTAGGCCATAGTCCGCCGACTATGGCCCAAATTTCTCCTAAGAGTAAATCCGTGCCTCAGATCTTTGTGATATAAGGCTCTGAGTGGCACTGCAACTGTTATGGACAGTCGCTTACCACCAGGCGCACGTCTCGTTCGTCACGCCACTTGGCAACTCGAGTAAAATCTTAGTAAAATCTCTTTTTAAATTCTGCTTATTTATGTCCATTTTATGCAAGAGTTTAAGATACGAAAATGTCGTTCTAAGGTTCTGGCAACTTTAAAATGGTACTACCAAGATTCATGTAATTTTTATCGAGGCACTGATTCATCACAAATGACTCGAAACATAACGACGTGTATAGATCGGATACAACTATAAAACACGCTTTTAGTTAGCCCGATTCCGAGGACGAAATATTAATCTGGCAAATGACGTTCGTGGACACCGATCTATTACAAAGAACGCAATTAAGCAGCTTGGTATGATGTAACAACTCATAACTGTCCGTGTACCAATCCACGCAAAACGACATCAACTATTTTTGGGACCAATGTTGTATAATAATTTTCTCAAAAACACGTAAAGAATGTAAATTAACAGTCACTAAGTACTTACAACTAAAATCCTATGAGGAAACTGAAATAATGCTAAAAACAATACAATAATAAAATACTTTAAATTAACATAAAATACAGGAAATGAAACTATTCAACCGTGACTATGGGACCTGTAAAGTGCCCGAAAGTTTGGTTTGTTTGAAAAACAAATATACGCGATTTAAAACCGGAAAAATAGTTTCATTTCCTACATGTAACAATCGCGTAAACCTAAGAACTCGACAACATACAATAATTTATGACAGAATAATTGAAAATAAAATAAAATGATCCTTTCTATTACTATTTTTTATACTTACACTTACGCACTCTCTCTCTCTCTCTCTCTCTCTCTCTCTCTCTCTCTCTCTCTCTC